CATTACAATTTGGTAAAGCATTTATTTGAGTCTTCCTCTCAAATAAATCACTAGTGATAAACAGTATTTTCCTGCAATATTAATGAAGGGCTGGGAAGGGTTTACTGTCTTACAGGGGCAAATATAGTAGCTCTCATCCTTTAACTTCCAACATCTTTTTCACTTTTCAACATACCTAATGAACTTGATGTATGACCTTCACTGACTGATTTAACAAGCCTATTATCACCACATGCCATGGAAGTCAGCTGTGCAAATTCCTCTTGTTTTTCTTCCTGTAGATGTTCTTCCTGAAATTTATGCTGTTCTTGTAGCTTGCTGTGATTCTGAATTACTTTGTGAGCTGTTTCCATGACCACTTCTGTATTTAAGTTTTCAGCAGCTATTGCTAGGAGTTCATCATCATCATCTCCAAGATCCCAAGCATCACTTGTGTTACTTTCAAATTCTTGGAAGGTGCTGACTTTCTTCAATTTCACTGGAGTTGTAGGTGGTTTTGAACCTGGTTTTATCAAGCTGTTCAAAAACAAATAAACACTATTTAGAAAACGAGTAAAGAATCAAAACACTCTGGGTAGGACTAAACCCCAAAAGTTCATAGTTGACACTACACAGGCAGCAAATATTTATCTCTCTCCACTACGTCCACCCACAGTAACATACAGCTGAAGAAATCTGAGAACAAGGGCTGTAAAAACTGACAATTAGTTGCTTTGAATAGAAGTTAAGCAAATATTTCCTTCCCTTGTTTAAGAAAACAAAACCCAAAAAAAAAAAAAAAAAAAAAAANCAACCCCAAAATCACATGAAAGGATGAAAGGATTGCTACTAGAATAGCTTATAAAATAGGGCATACTGCACTGCTCTGGCTTCATCAATTTCTGTAGATTTCAGCCCTTTCAATGCAATTGCTGTGTAACAGCACAGGAGCTGCAATCAAGCCATGGTCTACTCCTAAGTTGTCATAAGCAATCATGCAATGCAATCACTGTCATAAACAAACCAAGTCTCACCTTAAAACTCAGTAAATCTATCATTCCTCCCCATCAGGGATGCCAGCATGGATTTCCTTCAGAACTTTGCTCTTCTCAGAGCAAAGATATATCTTCTAATTACTAGTCTAAGTGGACCCTGCTCAGCTCCCAACCTTTTGCCCCTCTGTCAACACGCAGTACAAGATACGAACCAAGTATCCCTCCCTAGCCTGGAACTTGTTCTCACTTACAGTAAAGCAGAGCAATGACATCTCCCTTCAGAAGTGAACTGAATAAGGTATAAAGTTGAGAGGGTTTCTTAGTCTGTTCCCAAAAAAATGAAGAAGTTACTGCCATTAATTTAATTGTGCTTTCACAGAATAGGGAAGATGGGAAGAGGTCACCAAGGGTCAGCTGGCCCAAACTCCCTGCTTAAGCAGGGACACCTTGCACAGAATTGCATCAAGATGGTTCTTGAGTTCATTTCTGACCTCCCTGTCTCTCCACCTGGGCTATTTTTTTTCTGTGAAGACAAGGCAGGCAGAACTGCAAATCAGAGAAAGTTCTTCCTCAGTTTTCATGTAGTATCAGTTATAATGTTTCTGTTATGACTTACAGGGAGTATCTTCCCTAACAACTGCTACACTTACACTTTCACCTGCCTTGTCATCATAGTCTAAAACAGCCAGGTCTTTCTCTAGTTCTGTCACTTCAAGCAATAAACTTCCAGTTTTTGTCACTGGGTCTCTATACCTCCGTACTTTGAACTAATTAATCTCATTTCTTTTATTTCCACCCTTAGGATGAAGGGTGCCTTTTCAATTTCAATTGCCTCCAACTCAGTACAAGAAGTAAACATTCTAGTTAAGTTTTGGATGATACAATCTGAAACCAGCCCTTGAAAAAATTTAGTAGAAGCATGACGTCCTTCCCACCAAATCCTTTTCTTTGTAACACTATTTTTTTACTTTACTACAATTTCCCATATATAAGGCATTAAAAGTAAATAATAACAGTTGGAAATCTATGTTAGTTAAGATCTGAAAGTGCTGATTTGTTCCTGCAAATATGGTAACCATCAGGAAGTCACAAAGGAGAAGTCAAAACAGAGAAGTTAAGATTATGACAAAAATTGAAAAACGAAGATTAAGAATGAACTTTATAGCCAACAGGGAGGAAAAAAAGAGAAAACAGAGGAGACACAAAATACTTGGAATATTTAAATATTAAGTTAACTCACGTTCCGTGCAATAATGGGTCAAAAGGTGGATGCTGAGCTCCATACACATGTTGAATACTAAAGGAAAACAAACAGAGTTATCACAAAAATAGTAAATAATCAGAGAGTTTCTGTGTATTAAATTGTATATTTGGAGAGTTTCTGTGCATTAAAACATTTCAGTTCTGTTTATTACTGACTAATAATAAACAGAACTGAAATGTTCCAACAGTTGTCTGTTTCAAAAACTAAAAATAATGAAGCTGCAATTGATATGCATACTAAGAAGTATTTTAATAAAAATAATAGATTTGCTAAACAGGAACTCTGTGGGACCTAAGCTAAGGCTATTTTAGGCTATTTTATTTTTCTAACTAGGAATTAAAATAAGAAATAAGTTAGACTCTGCAGTAAGAATCTACAAAAATTCTCTTCTCAGATTTATCATTTCTTCATCTCTTGCAAAAAATTAAAAATTCTCAAAGAAATATCTACAGAGATTTAATCTTCTACAAACCCTTGCCACCCAAAATCCAACCAGACAGTTCTTAACCATTACTAAAGTACAAGAAGGGCAAAGCTACAGAAAAATACAAAAGGTGACAGGTTAGAGAATAAAATAGGACTGTTAAAAGAATGCTTTGAAACAAGTTTCCAAAGACTTATTCCCTAGCCTCTAAAATTACAATATAGTATGTTATTGTGTGAAAACCAAAATTCTCTACAAACTAAAAGTTCATTACCTCCTAGTTATTTGGTATAAAACTATCTTGTAAGTAAAAAAATGCCACAGAAGACGCATCAAGACTTACATGTGGCTTTATATTAGAAATTATTACAACACAACTCTCTAATTGTAAGAGAAATAAATCATATGCAACATTAACAACTAGCCAAACCTGTAATAAAAATCACATAGAATGAACATGCCCTCCTGATATACCAAAAACAATCTCCAGACCATAAGGATAAGTAAGTCCAACCTTAGTAAACCTGAGATACAACCAAGCCAAAGAGACTCAGTTCAGTCAAAACAGATCTTAAGAGAAGCTCAGACTTTCACAACAGCTGCAGCATTAACACCAGTGAAATTATCCTTGTGGTGACTGAAAATGTTGTTTTATCAAAACTCGTAATGATTTTTATGTAATTCCATGGAAATCAATTCCTCACCAGCCTTCCCAGAGCCATATGCCATTCTCTCCCTGCTCTGTGCTCACATGGGTCAGGTGTCACTGCCCATTTCCATGCACACAGAAGGTGCCTTTTCCTTACACCACTCTGTGAATAACTGCAATGCAAATCCACTCAAACAGAAAGCAACAACAGTCCTTTCCATGCCATGAAAAAAAAAAAAACCCAAATAAAAATCAAAAGCACATTCTCCACAGTGTCCTTGTCTTTCCTCAAGCCTGAAGTTGCCTGCAAATTAACTGCAACTATTTGTAGATCCTGCGCAAGGGAGGAAGGCCAGAAGTGTTTCAACCTCAAGCGATGCAGCAAAGTTACAAAGAAAACATATCAGAAGGACAACAGTTAGACTGAAAAAGTTAGTTTGTAACTAAAGAAACAAAACCACTCCCAGTTAGTGCTTATGGGTAACTGAAAAAGTAAGAAGGTAAATGATGAGCAAGGCTATGTTGCTGAATTCAAGTAAAGGGTAAATAGAATACAGAGTTACTGCTCCCTGAGAGCCACAAGTGCACACCATTCTTACAACAAGAATATAGAAACCTGTACTGTGAGAACAATTCGAGGATAAGACCAGAGAATGTTATTGTTAAATAATAATCTGAACATGTGTTTCCACCCTGATGTAACAGTCAAAAGAGTTCACGGCACTTTGGGGATCTATTCCCTGGAAAATCTTGAATGGGAGAATGTGCCTGTAGCCCTTTCCATTGACACAATTGCTCTGCTGTTCACGCTTCAGAAGAAAGTTGAGAAATTGACACTGTTTTGAAATACGTAGCAGAAACTAAAACATGTCTCCATGCCTAGAAAACACATTTCCTACGAAGTACTTCAAAAATATCCTAACTTGCATCAAGTTTCAAAACATCCTAACTCGATCCTGCCGAGAGCTACAAACATTCTCCCACTCACGATTTCCCAGAGAACACATTCCCAGGATCACGTTCACTCCTTTGCCCGCGATGTCAGGCCGGGAACGCACATTTCGATAATTATTTGACAACACCTTTCTGATACAAGTTATAACCATTATAACCAACTCCAGCTGACCGCCGGCGATCTCCGCCTCACGACTGGAGCGCCGAGCCACCGAGGGACCCGGGAGGGAGCGGGGCCCGCCGGCCCCGGCCCCTGCGGCGGGACCGAGGGCCCCGCGCGGCCCCGCGGGGCGGGGGCGGGACGCGGCGCCGGCTCTCGGCGGGGCCGCACGGGCACAGACGCCCCCGGCCCGGCGCCGTACAGGGGCCACACCGACCTCCCGCGGCTGCTCTCACCTGCCCGGCACCTTCGCGCCGCTCCGCTTCCAGAACTGCTTCCTGCCCCCGTCGCTCGCCATAGCGGCGTCACCTCATCCCCCTCCGCGCCCCTTCAGCCTTCACACCCCGCCATTCCCGGCCACAGAAGCACCCCTGAGCGCCGCCATCTTGGGACCGGAAAACAACCCCGCGCCTTATTGGCTCTCTGAAGCAGCACGGAAGTTTGAGCCAACCAGAAGTGAGATTGCTGCCGGGTGGGCCCGGTGGGGCCAATCGCAGCGAGGGGATGCCGGGGGCAGCCCGGCCCGGCCGTGCCGGGGCAGTTCCTGGGCCGTGCCCCGCCCGAAGCGCTCCTGAGCTCAGGAACTGCCTCGCACCGAAGCCATCCTGAACTCAGGAACTGCCTCGCGGCTCCCCGGGTGTGCCCTTCTCAGACTTTTATCCTTTTTGATTGAACCGTACAGAGCGATTCCTCAGAGTGCTCCTGAGAAGTGCAAAACTTGCCTTGTAAAGGGATGGAGACTTTAATTGAAGATCGGCGGGCATCTGTTTATAACAAAATCCATCACATTTTTTCTACCTTTATCTTTTTACATTTCCAATTATTAACCCAGTTAATAGTGAGGACGGGCGGGAGTGGAGCGGGGGGACTTTAAGCTTTCTCTGTCTGAAAGTTCTTCACTCATTGTACCCACTTCATTCATGGCTTTGAGATGGTACAAGAATAAGGGGGTTTATATGTATCTGTAGATTCCCAGCAATACATCACTTCAAAGGATACATTACTTCTACCAAGAAAATAAGTATGATTTCATTTTACTCTTTCAAGTATTGCTCCTGAAAAAACAGTGCTGAGTTACAGGATTTTTTGCTGCATCTCAATGCAATTTAGCATATAATTTTACATGTCAAGAATTGCTCAGGGAACATCCTTCCACAATTAAGCCAAAAAACTGGCATATAGTACAAGACCTGAACTGCAGTGCAATGTTTGTTCTTTAGTATGCATTTCATGTGTAAGTTATTTCTCAAAAATTGAAAAAAAATAATTCTTTCTGCTTTGGGATTTAATTTAGCAGTTGCATTCTAAAAACTGTCAAAAATTAAATGTTTCACAGATCTTGCTAGCTCACCATCCACAGTTGAGAGCTGTAATTTCAGTGGCTTTTGTAGATATGTATGCTGTAGGAAGTATCACCTTCTCCATTTGTGTTCTTTAAGTATTGTTCGTCTTACAGATTCTAGCCCTTGAGTATCATCAGTATTAATAGAAAATACAAGAAAAGTAATATGATCTGTGCCCGTTAGCTAAAGTGGAATGAAACCTGCCAAGTCATGACTGGAACTTTGTACGGTCATAGCTAAATAAATAGAAATTATACTTGTTGCTGCTAGAATAAAAAAAAATGAGGTGTATCTCTTGTGACAGTCAAAAAATGGTAAATCCATAAAACATCCATTCCATTATTAGTATTAAGATGGATGTTAAAACAGTGTTTCAGTTATTTTTGTTTGTTCATTGTTGATATTTATCAAAGAGAAACATAGATTCAGCCTAGATAGCCCAAGCCATCTGTGATCCTTATGACAGTTGACCTGAATCCTGAAGTGACACAATTTAATTTTTGTGTCAATCTGGTGCAGCCATATTAAACTTCTAGATCATTTTAGCAGTGGAGGTTTTGCTGAGTTACATAATCAAGTCAGCACAAGGTTAACTGTATTATTACTATTTCATTATATTAAGTATATGTTACCTTGTGTATAAGTTTTTCATGTGGTTCAGAATTTTGTGCTGGAAACAACTGGCTGCTTCATGGATTGCTTCATGAATAAATCTGACTTGCAAACGGAGAGCTACATTTGTATCAAGAACTGCAAGTGCCCTCCTCTGCTACTGTGAAGGGCTGCTGGCAGTTTTACACCTGTGGACTGAAGTACCACAAAGCTGGCTGCTGTTTATTTTCAAGAAGGCAAGGATACTCTTTTTATTCCCTTCCCATCAATTTTTATATTTTCTCATTATCCTGATTTTTGTTTTATCCCTGATAGAAACTGTGTTGCCAAGGTGCTGGAGAGGTAAGGGATTTGGAAGGAAGACCCTTTCAAGACCTCATCAGGTAAGTTAGATGCAATTCCCCATGCCCACCACTCAAGCTGATCTGGCCACAAAGAGTGTGTCCTTGAAGAGAACTTCTCAAATGGTACAAATTGAATATCACAAGAAGGTAAGTTCACAGCTATGGAAGGAGAATTTGGTCTGAGCATGTATTTTAGCAGTGTTACAGCTTAACTTTACAGAAATGTGACATGGACAGCTGAGGGTGTGCACAGGTTCCACTGCCAGTCTCTACATTTGAGGAGAACTGCCAGTGTCCAGGTGCTGACATTCAGGGAGTGCCACAACACTGCAGTCACTGCTGGGACTCACCTGCTGCAGCTGGTGAGCACAGGCCTCGAGAGCTTCCAAACATCCAAACCAGCTATTTCAAATCTGCACAGCTGTATTAACTAGGCTTTGCTCATAGGGACTGCAGTAATATTTCAGGTACAATTTCTATAGGAATTTCTGTTACTTCAAAAAAATAAAAAGTATTAAAATATCTACTGTAGTATTTGTTTCATGAAAAGTTGTATGCAATAATTTATACTTAAGAAGTGGTTTGTTGCCAGTATGGGCAAATAATGTATTGAGCTACAGGGTGTTTTGTAGACTTCTTTCTTTTTCGTTTTCTCCCTTTTTTTCCGTTTTGAATTTTTTTTTTTATTTGTGTCCTTTTAACTTGAGCATTTTTCAGAATCAGGTAACAGCATAGAGTTCATGACTGTTACTGGGGATGCTTGGAAGGTTTCTGTTTATTCTGGAACCTACACATGTAGCCATGCTCTTGGCTGACCAAAATTAGGAGTGTTGTGGCTTGCACTAGCAGTGTTTTGAACAAAGTAGGCACTGAGATGAGTATTTAGTGTGATAGCTGGTGAGCTGTGCATCCAGGTGGACATTCAGTTTGGATTTTAGCTCACATGTTCTGGAAAGCTTCTGCTGTGCTGGCGTGGTTACACAGGTAACTTCTCTGTGGAGGGCAGCGGTATCTTGGGAAAACAAGTTTTTTTGACAACAGATATGAGAGTATAGATTGGTGCTAAACATAGTTAGCTAAGCTGACAACAGCACTCCTCTGCTAACTTAGCTGCACTCAGACCAGGAGGATTTGCAGATAAAGTTGCATAAGCTGGGAAGTGCTTTTTCATGCTGATCCTTACACTGCTGTGTCAGCAACATGCTGCAACTGCAAGGTGGGGCTTAAACTCACTCTACAAGCTGACAAGGCCATGTGTCTCTACATGCATTTTTTTCTGTTTGATTTAGTCAATAAGGAAAAAAATTAAAGTGAATTCAAATGAGACACTTCCATGCTGAAGCATTATTTTATGCACTTTTTACTGCTCCAACAAACTAGTGGAAGTCCTTCTGAAGCACACATGGCTTTTTATGGTTGCTGGTCACTCTCTTGTCTGGTCCATGGACATGCCTTTCTACCAAGCCATTATCTCCATGTGCTTTATTGTGAATATCATGGAAGAAACGGTTCTTGAAAGTAAAACTGAGCAAGTGGAGTGAAGTTACCAAGCAAAATCAGAATTCAGGTAGAATCAGAGAGTGGAAGACAACAGTTATCTTTAGGTAGAAAACAATAACAGAGAGTACAGTACTTGGTACAAAAAGACATGAGACAAGGTAAGATAAAAGGAAAAATCAGTAATGTAGAACCAAGGAAGAAAGAAAACAGGGATGTTTAAAGGAGAGGGATAAGCAAAAGCTACATTCAAAGAGGTTGGACATGGTCCAGCAAATCACAGTCACAAGACCTCTGTCAGGGCAGTGCAATTTTTCTCCATAAAATTGGAGAGGAAAAGAGAGAGAAGAAATCAACATGAGAGATGGCCAGGAGAAGTCATCATTGAAGACAAGCCATCACTGTAGTATTTTGTAACATTTGCTCTGCAAGTGCCTTTCCTATTACATATTAATTGAAAAAGTTTTTTAAAATTATAGCAAATTTGTGAAAATGCATTTACATTGGTAATGCACATGTATGGAATCATGTACACTCACTCTATTCAATAGCAGTGAAAGAAGGCTGTGAGACAGAAAAATAAATAGATAAGTGTGTGCTGGTTTGGGGTAAATGTTTCTCCATCTGGAAGAGTGATTGATGTGGGTATTTTTCAAAAGTTGCCATTCATGAAAAGTTGCCATTCACTAAAATATTAGTGGCAATGCTCATGTTAACATTTCATGCATTTTAGATGAGGGTTTTTTGCTTTATTTTTGTTTGTGTCTACACATCAGCTGACACAGCCTGCTGGGTGTAGCCTGGCTCCACACTCTGTGTCCAAGGACTGCTGCTCACCAGCAGCCCAGTGGATAGAAATGCTGTTTCCTGAAATCTCACACAGTATGCAGTTAAGTCTCAAATGACTCAGAGAAAGAAGACTGCTTTGTAAGTGGATGTACTGGGTAGAAGAGGAGAAGTTTGAAAAAACAACAGGTCCTCTTTCAAATGTATTTCTAGTTCCTTGAAATTCTACCTAATTATGTCTTCTCTACATACAGTGAGTGTTTATACATAGCATTACAGCATGACAGAACTTCAAGCCCAGAGGAATAAATCAATTTATATTTGTCTCTGAGCCACAATAATTGTCTTACATTTACATTCATTATTGAAACTTATTTTCTTTAAAGTATTTGGTTCATATTAGTTTCTGACTCTCATGTTCAACTTACTATTAGAACAAGGTGAAAAGCAAAATTATTGGAACATTATGTTTCTTGAAGTTAAAAGGTGTCAAGATATTGGGAGAGCTTTAGAGATGCCAAGAGACCTGCTTAGTACTGTGATTTGATGAGGAGAAAGTCAATACCATTTCTCTAAGATCAGCAGAAGAAGGCAGCTCCTTGGAACAGACACAGAACCTCTTTTTTTTTCTTTTCTTTTTTTCTTTTTTTTTTTTAATGTCGAATCATAACAAATATCAAAGCTATTGCTTTAGGCTAAAAACTGGGCATGTACAAGAACAACATAAAAGATGTGTGTCTGGAGCTTTTCTGAATCAATAAATTGGTTTGGTTCTCTTCCTTAGGAATCATCAGTAATGTACTTGAGTGCAAAACTAGATTTGGGTAGGTAATGAAAGTGAGCAGGGCTCTAGGATCCCTTAGGTTTCTGTTTTAAACAGGCATACCCATCTTCCTGTGTGCCTCACTTTTTTTTCTTCTTTTCACAGTTTGTATTATAGACATTTTTTTGAGGAAGTACCAGAAACAAAGTTACTTGTAACTTTAAGAAGGAATTCAACAGCAAGTTTAGGTGCTTTGGTTCAACCACTATGTTCTGGTCATTTTTCTTCTAATAGACAACTTAATCTGAAATTTCAGGAAAAACACCAGACACAGACAGAAGCATTTATCAGCATTATTTAGTTTTTCATTATTTTAGTTTGTTCTCTGGACAGCCTGTCTTTCTTTTTGTATTTGGTCCATTGTTCCCAGATGTATTCAGTGTGGGGGCATTGCATTTGGCATGCCAGTTGCATCAATCATGCCCTTGGTCCTTTCCTTGTTTCAGTCCAAAAACACACTTTAGAAGTAAATCGTTAACTGCTCACATATGTCTAAGAAGAGTGGAGACATGATGATAGACAGAAATTTAAATGGATTATCTTCAGCAGATATTTTCAGGTTTTAGAATGCATTAAGCTGTGTGTTAATTTACATCTATCATTCATATTGAGAGCATACATGTGTTGTCTCAAAATATTTATGATTGACAGCTGCAGGATTTGGGATCTGGGGCTTGGGGATTTTTTTTTTCTCTTTTCTTTGATTATCCAGCTTCATCACAAGTGCTTTTATGTTTTTTTCTTGGACCTCTGTTTCTAATTCTACCACTGACATCTCTTTTCATGTCTCAAAGCCCCTGTTAGTGCATTTTTCATATCATTTGTGTCTCTGGGAGGGATTCATTTTTGTTGGTGTTTCTTGAAGATAGAAAAGCCTTTACCGTGCTATTTGACCCTATTTATCTCTCCATTAATTTATCTTTGATCCAAATGTGTATTAGAAGGTAATTAAGTTTCACTATTTGCTTTCTAAACCCATTTCAGGGTTTCTCAGCATAGTACTTGAAATGTACACTTGAACTGAACAAGTCTTATTGCCTTCTTTCTTAGTGTTCCACATATTTTCAGTATTAAAATCCTATTAATGCATTTTCTGTAAAAAGGGATTAGTGGTAGAGTAAGTTCAGGTAGTGTAAGTTGAATTAAAAATACCAGATAAAATTAAAAATAAATACAGCTGGCATTATAGTTTATTGCATAGATATCGTTTCCAGAAGTATCTCCATTGTAGTGCATTATAGTTGTTATTTAATTCAAGTGAGTTGTATCAAAGGCATGTTTTTTTCTTCTGAAAGAGGAATGGACTTTGCTACTTAAGAGGTAAGTCTCTATCAGATCTCATGAACTGACTGTTATTGAATATTTATTGCCGGTCTTGTGGTTTGTGTATACTTTTGCTGGAGAGCAAATATAAACATGAGCAACGAGTATGTAATGAAGATAATGCAGTTGGAGTCCCAGTAACAGAGTGTTTCCAGCATGACTTTCAGTAGAAAAGAGTAATGGGGTAATGCTGTTGGCTGAGATGCCCATTTTACTAGTGAGAGTGTTGGCAAGGCTTAGGATTTAGTAACAGAGAGGTTGAGATTTTGGTGAAAGAGACGTAAGCTAAATTATAGTGCAAAGAAAATGGGAGTAGCTACAGAATTTTGGGTGAAAATATATGATGAAGGTAACAAAGTATTTTACACATTTGCTTTTAGGTGTTGCTGCTCCTTTTCCAAGAGGTATATTCTGTTAGTGAGTTGGATTTGCAAAGTAGTCTTTAGCTGATTATAAATGTTTTTCCAATATTTAATACTGTTGGGGGAATTTGGAAAAAAAAAATCAAAACCTGCAATTTTTTTCTTTTTAGCTCTTGTTATTTGAGAAGTGGGTAGGAGTAGTAGACAGTTTTCAGCTAAGTGACAAAAGAAAACTCAGACTAAAAAGC